GGGGCGGGGGAGCCGCAACAGCGCCCGCCTCAGCCCCGCCCCCTCCCGGGCGGTGCGCGCACGTGGGCGGACGCAACGGCCGCCCAACGTTGCGGCAGTGCCTGTGGCCGCTCTGCGTCCACGGCTCTCTGGCCTCCTCTTCCCTCGTCCCGTCCCCAGCCGAACGCGCCCCACCCCGCAGCGCGTGCGCAGAGCCTCCCGCTCCCTCAGCCGGAGGAGGTGTGCTCGGAGCGGGGGCGGGGGACAGAGTGCGGCGGAACGGGGGTTGGGACGCGGAGGCTGAACGTTGGAGAGGAGGAGAGGGAGGTGGGCTGGGCTATCGCTTAACCTGCTGGGATAACCACGCAGATATTCCTAAGACCTCCCACTCCAGCTGGCGGGCTGGGACCGCAGAAACCACCCTAGCGCGGCTCGACCCCTGGGAGAGATGTGTGTCCCCAAAAGAAGCAGTTATGACGAGGTGTGCGCTCGGATGGTGGGGGGGGGGGGGGGTAATACAGTTCTGGGGCGGGCTGGGACCGCAGAAACCACCCTAGCGCGGCTCGACCCCTGGGAGAGATGTGTGTCCCCAAAAGAAGCAGTTATGACGAGGTGTGCGCTCGGATGGTGGGGGGGGGGGGTGGTAATACAGTTCTGGAGGGACTGACATTTGGAGTGGGGCAGCCTTCATAAAAGGCCTCCTGGAGCAGGGTCACTTAAACTTTTAAGACTTTGCCGGAAGAAATAAGAGTAAGCCCATTGGAGATTGAAGCCTGGGCCTGTTTGGGTTGTAGGAAGAGCAGATTAGTGCTTGGGCTACAGGGAGCGTGCTTGACGAGGTGGGTGGAAGACAGAGGCATCTCTGTCCTTTATGGAAAACGGCCTTGCTCTGGGCAGCCACATGGAGTCGCTTGCACTTGGTTCTGTTAAGAATAGGAAGCCATGGAAGGGGGGGACTGAGGCGATTTTTTGGACCTTGAGGACAAGAGTTATATTAGTCATACTCTTCAGCTCCTCAGAGTCAGCAAGACCCCTCTCTTTTATTTCCACTCATTCCCTCTCCACACTCTCATTGCTCTATCCTCCATATGCACCCTTTCTTGTATATTTAAAATATGTCCCAGTACATGTATATATCCCCAAAATATACATGGTTTATGTATCTATTTTTAATATACACTAATGGTATTGTGCTAAGAATTCATTCTATTCCTTGTTTTTCCTTCAACTTAATGTTTTAGAGATCTATCCGTGTATCTCTATACTCCAGGAGATCATTAATTCTGACCCCTAAAAATATTTGCTCTGTGTCTAACACATTGTATTACTTAACCAGTTCCTCAAATAATGGACAGTTAGGTTGCCAGCAGTTCTTTGCTTCCACAGACAATGTTGGAATGAGTATTAAACATGTCCTTTTATAGATCATAAGAACTAGAATGGCAGGGTCATGGATTCTACAGTGCTTGGTTTCACTCTACCACGTTGCCCTTCAGAATGGCTTTGCCAGTACACTCGCCAGTGGCACATGAAAGTAGGAAGATTCCCATTTCCCCATTTTATACTCTAACATTTGATATTATCTGATATCCTAATTTATATCAACTTGATACCAGTAGTATCACATTATAATTTTTACTTGTATTTCTTTAATGATTGATGATCTTAACCATTTTTCTTTTTACAGTACTTAAAAACCATTGAGATTTTTTTCCTTCATGAATTACCTATTTACATCCTTTGCCTATTTTTCTACTGAATTACCTATTATTTTTCTGAATGAATTGGAGGAGTTTCTTACATTTACTAAATATTAATGCCTTGTTTGTTTTGGACATTGCAAATATTTCTCCCAGTCTTTCAAGCATCTTGTTAGCTTGATCTTTGCTATCCTACAATGGAGAAGAAACCCTCAATTTTGATGTGCCAAATGCATCAAATTTTAGCCTAGTGGAGTGTGCTTTTTGAATCTTAAGAGTCTTTTCCCACCTACAGGTGCAAAACATTCTCCTACATTTTCCTTCGTTTGGCTTCATACTTTTTTGCCTATCGCAGTTAGGTCTTAATCCATCTGGAGTTCACCTCACACATAGTAGAAATACGATATTATTTTCTCTACTTAGTGAGCCAGTTTTCCTGGCAGCACCTGCCAAACAATCCATCTTTTCCCTGCTGCTGCGTGATGGTGTCTCTACCATATGCCAAGTCCCCATAGACACACATGTCTGTTTCTGGGCTCACATTGCTGTTCTATTGATCTAGATCTGTTCTTGTGCCAGGGCTGTGCTGATTTTATTGCTATAGCTTAGTTAGATGTCCTAAAATCTGGTAGAGTGAATCTCCCCACTCTGCCTTTTTTTTTTTTTTTTCAACATTGCCTTAAAAGTTCAAAGCAAAAATGGTCAGTGTTGACCCCCACAGCTAAAATTCAGGTTTTATGATCCCTACTCCACTAAGGAGGAGTGGAGGGAAAATGGAGGGGACTGAAACACGACGGGAGGAGGATAGAGAAGAGGCAAAGACATGGGGGAGGTAGTTTTCCTGAACAGATGCCTTGAGGCCTCCCTTTTCTATCAGTTTCTGAAATTCCCCTCCTTTTCCCCTTGATTTGTAACTGACACTAAGTATTACTTGTAAACTTTATCCTGCTCCAGCTAAGAAGTATTACCTCCTATTTAGATTTTGTAACAGTACCATCTAAGACTTGATGACATTCTAATGAACAATTAATTGAATAAACAGACATAGCTTTAAAGGAAAATGCTCAATTCGATGACTGGACTCTGTAACTACTCTAATTACCACCTGTGGTGGAAGTAGCGCACCCAAGCCTGGCTGCCAGAAATCCTAAGTCCCAGTCTCAGCTCTGCCAGTGACATGTAATAGAACAACTCTTGGAGTCCTGTTTTCCTTGTCTGAACTGCTTTCATACAAGTCTCAATGTGCCATCACAGCAGCCCCGTGAAATGCACAAAAGATGCATCACTATTTATTGCAGTTTTACAGGTAATGAAACTGAGGCTTGGAGAAGTTAAATGACTTAGGCGTGAACACACAGCTAAGGAAAGCTAGGTTTAGCCAGTTCATTTATTCATTTAACAAAATAGCACAGTGCTAAGCACATGGACCTTGGAGCCCAACTGCGTGGGTTTTAATCCAGACAAGGTACTTAACCTCTCTGTCTCTCAGTTTACTAATCTCTGAAATAGGAATCATAAAAGTACAGTACTTAGCACAAAGTGTTGTTGTAAGAATTAAATGAGAGAGTATGAATATAATTCTTAGAAAAATTCCCAGCACAGATGTTTGCTCTTTTACATTAACTTGTAAAATGGTATATATACTTCTTCAAAGTATATACCCTTTAGACACTCTTGCACATTTTCACACACACATATGCACAAGAAAGTTTATAGCGGTAAAAATTGTAATAGCAGAAACCTGGAAACAAAGGTTAAACTATAGATAAATAGATAAATTAATTGTATTATACCCAATCAATGGAAAACTGACAGTGAAAGTGAACCACAACTACTTAATTCAACTAGGATAAATCTCACAAACATGTTGAGCAAGAAATCCAAACTGCAGAAGATTATAGTGCAATACTATTTATTATAATGTTCAAAAATAATATATAAAATATCCTTACATGGTTAAAATCAAAAAAAAGAAAGGGGATGGTAAATACAAAATGCAGTCTATTATTTATCTCTAGGACTGAGATGTGATGGGGGCAGGAGGTGAGGCCCACAGAGGGCATTGGTAATGTGTTATTTTTTGAACTGGGTAGTGATATGTGAGTGTTTTATTGTTAAGCTTAAAATATGCATATGTATTAATATAATTTCTATGCATGGGAATAATATTTTAGAATTTTTTAGGTGGGGGATTATTTGATTTCCAGTTATAGTTTAGCCACTTCATTTATCCATTCATTCAAAAATATTTCAAGAATTCTTGCTATATTGTAGGCATTGTTCTAGGTCTTGGGATATATAGTAAGCTAAACA